AGCCCCAAATGGGAAAAGCACAGAGAAAATGCTCTCAGACGTCCTTGGCTAGCAAGACTGGAATGTGTGGAAATCATTTGACTTGGAAAAGAAAGGCAGTGAGGTGCTCTGTTGTCTCTGAAATGGGGTGATGATGATGGCTCAGCTCAAGTGAAGATGTGATTGAACTTTTTGCTCCTGAGCCAGAAGGAGATCCAGAAGAATTGCTTCTGGGAGATGAGAAAGTAAATAGTTTCAAGATCCTTGGGAGCAGAGATGATACTCTGTTTCACATGCTCCTAGCACTGACAGTTACATATTGTTCCCTCCTCGAGAACAGTTCAGTGGTTTTCCATGGGCTCCAGATACATTCCCGAGGGAGGGTAGCATTCATTGCCATCCGTGGCGGGGTCGCCAACTTCTTGGATCGCGCTACATCCTAATATTGGAGTCTGCCAGCTCCCCGAACTTGAATTATACTCTCTACCTCCATGGTTTTGCTCATGCTCTTCCTTCAGCTTGACATGCTATCTCTTGCCCTCTGTGCTTCCACCTATCAAATATCATTGAAGCTCAGAGACCGGGCCATTTCTCCCTGTAGCTTTCCCTGATGACCACCACCACCCCCGCCCCCTTCAGATTTAATTCTTCCCGTTGTAGCTCTACTGGGAGTTGGCACCCTGACCTGCTTTGTCACTCCTTGTCCACGACTGGCGCGTTTCCCATCCTGCTCTCTACCTTGATGGGAAGTGCCAAGACGACATCAGAGGGGCTGGGGCATCTACTGCTGAATGGCTCTGTGACTTTGGGTAAGGTACCAAACTTGTCTGAATCTCAATGTAGGAGATATTTAACCCATTTTACAGGCTTAACCTAAGATTAAGGAAGAAATGGGGCGCCTGGGTGGCTCAGTCAGTTAAGCGCCCAACTTTGGCTCAGGTCATGATCTCGTAGTTCGTGAGTTCAAGCCCCATGTCAGGCTCTGTGCTGACAGCTTGGACCCTGGAGCCTGCTTCAGAGTCTGTGTCTCCCTCTCTTGCTAACACTCCCCCGCTCACACTCTGTCCAAAAAAAAAAAAAAAAAAGATTAAAGAAAAAATGTATGCGAATTTTTTTTGTACATTAAGCAATTTTATAAAAGGGAATTAATTTCACTGTTTCACTAGGGATGTCTGTGATGGCAGGCGGGAATGTCTTCTACTTTGTCTCCTCAGTAAATGGTAACAAAGCTGTTCTCTGTGTTTTGTACCAGCACTTAATAGAGCTTTGCAATGAGTAGATTTTCAATAATTTTGAAGATTGAAAGTAGGGAGCTGGTACAGAAGCACAATTTTTATTCTGGGGAAACTACCAAAAGGTAGTCTGTGAGTCTCCAGTAAGCTCAGTGTTCAAGGATTTAGGAGACACAGGAAAGACAGTTGATATTAGGAGATGATGGACGGTGGGGGGAGAGATGTTCTTGAACTAGACAAGTACCCTCAGCAAAGTTTTGCCTGAGGGCTAGAAATCAAGCTTACTTGGCTGGTAAAGGGTTAATAACGTCCTGAGGCTGATATTTGCAAATTACCAAATTGTGCCACTCACGTGTATTCTAAACGCCCACAGGATTTGTGTATCTATATCTGTGCCTACGCATCTCCATTATCATGTTAAAACCACTTCAGTATGCCTGTGTTATATTGGTTGCAGGACAATTTTACATCACTCTGGACACAAAGAAATCCAAAATGAAAGAGAACACAAGCTGCAACCATTTAAGGAAGGCTATTTATAATGTTCAGTAACAGTCCGTAACGTATTGTCTGTATTAAAAGGTCATGGATTATCTATCTGCAAATGCAAAGAATAACATTTTGAGCTCTCTGAGCAAAGGTGCAACATGAATGCAAAATGGAACATAATCATCAGTGGACAGAGGAACAGTCTTAGGAATCTTACTTATTGGGTGACCTTAAATTAAAACGATCTTATTTCTGACGGAATGTGAGATGGGGAATGTGAGGTGAAGAGATAAGTCCAAGATTCAGCCAAGAAAGTGCTCTTTTCCCTTGAGAGTTCTGCATTTTAATGGGAAAGTGACGGGTGTTTGTGGCAGGTCCTGTGGACTCCTACTCCACAGTGATCCCCTCTTCTATTTCTTGCTTTTTCATGGGGAAGCAGTGTGCCTGCTAGCTCCTAGGAAGGGACGACGATTGTCCTAAGGGAGTGGCAGTCCCAGTCTTTTGGAGATACTTGGATAAACTTTCAACGTCTCAGCTCTGGAGATTCAGAGATAAGAGAAAGTCTGCGGGTTCTGAGAATTATTTTGTCATAATAAAAAAGAGACCAAAGAGTAGAGTCCCACCTTCCCTGCTTTGCTGACGACTTGGTGTTTGGCGAAGCAGGGGCCCTTTTGTGTCCAAGGAGATCCAAGAGAATCTGGGAGACAACAACTTGGACCCCTATTACTGAGCAGCTGAAGGACCTTTGGAACCGGATAGTTTCAAGGTTTTGTAAATAGTAGGTGTCTTTATGGTACCTTCTCCCTGTCGAGGAAGGAGGCGCCCTGCTTCAAATCTTTCCAGTTAAACTGAGGTTTAAAAGACTGCCTTGTGAGCCCGCAAAAGTCCGTGCAACTGAGATACGGCAGTTCATCTCAGGACACTTCCTGGAACACTTTCTCTTGAGAGCATTGTGCTTTCAAAACCGAGGTATTTGGACGATGGTTATACATACGATTTCTGCCCTTTCCAGTTCACACAGGGAAGACTTCATTTACTCACTTGCTCATTCAGAAAGTCGGTCAGTGAACAAAGGACCTTGTAAGTCCCAGCTACCACCATGTGCTGATGCTAAAGGCACAAACGAGAGTCTCTGCCCTCCTGGAGACAGGAAACCAGTTCAACAGAAAGTGACAGTTGAGACCCCTGCTGCCAAGGGCGTCCCAAGAGAAAGGAACTGGGAGACAGGGGTGGGGGTGGCAGCAATGATCAAAGAAACCTGAGAGAGGAGAGATTCCTAGTGTGCTGCAGGAGCCCTGAAGAAGTCAACTGAGAAGTGAGGACAGCAGTGGGATGGAGAGGGGAGACACCAAGGTGTGCAGGCCGTGGAAATGGTGGAACTCGGAGGAGAGAGTGGTTGGAATCAAGGATGGCTCACAGGTTGCCGGTCCGGACACGTGCGTTAGCGTGGTCGCCACTCTCTGCCCCTCCCTGCATACACTCGGCCCTTTCAAATGTGACTTCAGCTCCCGCCACTAAGGAGTGGGGTGTATCTTCCCCTCTTGAATTTGGGCCGCAGAACGCAGCAGGGGTGATCACGGGTTCCACCCTGGAGCCTGGGGTTCAAGAGGCCTTTTCTGCCTCTGCTTCCGCTCGCTGCCCAGCCACCACAGGAGCAAACTCGGGCCAGCCTGCGGGGTGGGGACAGACCTGTGACTCCCTCCCCCATCGCCGCTGACCGCCTGCCCGCCGCCGCCCACCCCCTGCCAGCTCTCCAGCTCTCCGCAGATACGCGAAAGGACCCAGCCTCGGTCAGCTGCTTGTGGCCTAGATTAGGATAAGCCCTCCACTGACCTACAGACTCGCGAGCAACTGTGGGGGATCGTCGCTTTAAACCATTAAGTTTCATGCAGTTTGCCATGCAGCCAAAGCCAGCTGACTCAACCAAGAGAAAGGGGCGAGTAAGGCTGGGGCCGCCCAATAGGCAACTGGACATTTGAGGTGGGTACACAGGAGGCCAGAAGCATGAAGTTCTGAACCTGCAAGGATAAAATCCCAAGGCTTCTGCCTTCCTACGGTGGGCTCCCCAAACCCGAGAGCAGGCCACTTGTCCCTTTTGTGTCCTCTTCTTCCACTCCCCATCCTCACCGACCTTCATTTTAGTACTTGAGTAATAAAGCAGATGCCTGACTCAAGTGCAGACAGCAATGGAGAATCAGTCCAGAGCCAAAGCTCCCAGGGGACGGAATGTGCATTGAGGGTTCCCTAATGAGTGGATTCAGCCAAGGCCAGCAGCGAGGGGCGACGGGCGAGGGTCGGGCGGGGAGGCCGAGTTGCAAACAATTACTGCCTGGAAGGGGCCTTCACATATCCGGAGCCAGGTCACGAATTCAGGACTCCACCCCCCTCTTTCTTCCCTATTAATGTCATCCCTTAGCACCTTTGGAAATAAACAGGGCCACTGCACTCAACAGGAATTTATCCCTCCCGTTGTTGCGGAGACACCCCCGACTGAGTGCACCTTTCCCTCTTTCGTTCCTCCTCCAGCTCGTGGGGCTCTCAGCTTCACCCACCGGCCCAGGGACCCGGGTTCGTCTCTGCGGGAAGGAGGGGCCCCCAGGGCTACGCAGGCACAGCCTGACGCGGGGCCTCCCACGCACTCGCGGGACGGCGGCGGTCCTTCCAGGGGCCGGAGGCGGGAGCCGCGCACAGCGCGTCAAGGGCCTAGGCGGCGCGCACGCCCGCGGCCACCGGCCCCCTCGGCTCTCCCAGCGCGTCCCCTCCCGGCCGCCGCGGGAAGGGGCGGGAGGAGGAGGAGGAGGAGCCGGAGGCGGCCGCCGCGCCCCCACCGCGCGCGCCGAGCCCTTTAAAACCCGCGGGGCCCCGCGCGCTCCGCCGGCCGCCGCGCTGCCCCT